CAGTAAACCACAGATGAAGAGTCTACGGATTGAAATGTTCAGACTTAATTTCATTGACAAATATTTTGTAAACAATATAATCTCTTAATCAATAAGATTTTTACGAGTTTTGTAAATGTTTGTAGCTTGTTGCATATATCAACTTGTAACCATGAACTTGTTGATGTTAATCTTGACATTTTATCTTTGTTGTATCTTTTCATTTTTCTATTGTTTTCAAGCTTTTTGGAACTTAAATGTCTGTTGGCTGGGTTCTTAAGTCTGAGTCGAAACAAGTAATCCAGGGGGGTCCAGGGGTTGACACGATTTCATCTTTTCATCTTTTTCAATAGAACAAAAATTTCATATTAACAATAGAATGAAGAAATTTTTCATCAAGATGAAATCGTGTCAACCCCTGGCAAGTAATTACATCTTAGAATGTAAACAATTAATAAGGGCTCGGTCGAATAAAAAGTTCCATTGAATTTCAACGGTTTTTTGAAATTCAATTTTTGTTACTTTCCCTTTCAGTAAAATGAAAAATTATTTTGCAAAATATCATTTAAATTAATATCAATGTTTTCTTTTGAGCATTGTAATGCATCCAATAAATTTTTCTTGTTTGTTCCTAATTTTTCAGCTTCCAAATATGTGTAATTAATGTGTTTCAAACGATTTTTTAAATTCACATATTTTTTGGTGATGTAAACAAACGAATGGAATAATTCAAATTTTGACCGTTATGAAAAAAGTGTTTCAGAAAAATCATTAATTTAACTAATTTAAACAAGCTTTTTGAAGATTTTAATAGCAAAGGATTAGAAAGAATTGAAAATCCTATAATTTGATATAATTTTTGTATCTTCTAATGAAGTTTTCGCAAAGTTATTAGTATTTTTTGTGAAAATTCAAAATAATGGAACTTTTTTTCAGTCTCAGAAATCGATAGTTTTTTGAATTTTCTGGATTAATTAAAAGACTTTGTGATATGTTATGCACATGAAAATGCTCGTTTTCAAAAATTTTTTAACACTAATTATTGAGATAATTACGTAGATATCCAGGTAAAGAGAAAAACGTAAACATTTTTTGATTTCTGACACTTATTTAACAAACGACCAAGCCCATAACTTTTCGGAAAATTTCTGGTCTTAAAATTTATTATAAATCAACGCAAATTCTTCCTTACTTATTTGGATGACGCACTCGTAGCTAGTTTTCCACGCTTAGAAAACGTCTTAAAACTACTAAATCCTTAGAATCCGTTTGCCAGTTCACTAAAGTGTTAGTTCACCAGTACTAAAATCAGACAATCCAGAAGTTCTAAAATCTTATGAAACAAGCTTTATCCACACATTGCGAGAATTTCAAAAGTAAACACAATATGACTTTTCTGCTGTAAGAGCTACAGACTTGTAAAATTATAATTTTCAGAAAGAATCATTGTCTATCTCAAGAAAGCAAACATTGACTGATGATATGAGCAAACACATGTTTTTAAAATTTTCCTAGAAACCCAGTACAGAAAAGGAGCATTAAAGCACTAAAATTAGCAACAAAACTTGTATTAAATGACTAAGAATTTTCGTTCATTTCAGCTGTTTATGTCACATGGTATAGCAAAAAAACCAGTTTTAAGAGCCATTGTCAAACATAATAAGAACTTAACGTTACAAGTGGTTTATTCATTTGTCTAATAAAAGAATGCCTCAAATCGGTACGTCATCTAATTTTTCATTTGAAGAGATTCTGTATTTGAATTAGAAGAGCTCATTCAGATCTCTGATGTTTGCGAAATTAAAGCTGTTTGTTTGATATATTCAAGATACAGACATTTTCAAAGGATTTTTAAGCAGATCTAATTCAATTTTGTTTTGTATTTAATCCTCTAATTTTAGATTTCCTAATTGCGATTTTCCGGCATTTGGTATGCCAAAATAATTATAATTTGCCAGTTGTTATAATTTACTGATTGATGTGCAGAAGATTTAATGTGATGATTATTTGTGGTTTAAAAAAGGAAAATAAGTTTTCAATAACTTATTTAAATAAATTTTGCCAAAGCAAAATGGCGTAGTCTTCGACGATATATTGACACTGAAATTCGTAGTGGATGTTTCGGATTAAATTCTCCCCTTGAAATCGATAAATCCATTGAGGATTTAAATTCAATAATTATCTCAGGAATGCTTGAATGCATACCATTTAAAAATAAAGACTCTTACATTAAACATCCTTTTTCCAGCAAAATCCAAAATCTAGTTAAACATAGAAACTATTACCGTAATCTTTACCAGAAAACCCTTAATCCTGCGTATAAGTCCTCATTTAATCAGCTTAACCGTATGATCAAGCGCACAATCACTTCAGAAAGACAGATCAATCTGAATAACAAACTAGAAAATTTAACTTTTCGCGATAATTCTCTTTTCATGCGTACCAAATCCCTTAAAAATAGGAAACGTTACCTGCCTCTCTTAATGTCAGTAAACAACATGGCTTACTCTGATAAAGATAAAGCCGATATGCTTGCTGGAACTTTCAGTTCAGTTCATACTCTCTCAGCAGTAGCCACGTCGAGTTTGGAGTCAGAAGTTCTGGAAAGTGTCGACGATATAAACTCACAGCCGTGCCTTGAAGTAAATAAATTCACGGAAGGTGAAATCATTTCTACGCTTAGCAAACTTAGACATCGTAAAGCTGCCGGTTATGACCTAATCCCCAATAGTGTTTTAAAAGCTCTAAGCTCGTTGGACTCATTTGTTAAACTATTCACAGAGCTCCTTAATTCATGCTTGACTCTCTCTTATTTTCCAATATCTTGGAAAATTGCTAAGATAGTTGCGATCCCAAAATCTACTCCAGTTTCTTCTAATCCGACTAATTTCAGACCGATATCGCTTCTTTCGAAAGCCGGTAAAGTTTTTGAAAGACTTATCCTCTTACGGTTAACCTCTTTCGAAGAGGATCACCAAATATTTATTAACCAGCAATTTGGTTTTAAATCCAGACATTCAACGACACAGCAAGTGCTTAGAATTACTGAAAAAGCAGCCTTAGCTTTCAATCTCAACAAAAGCTTGGGTTTGGTACTGCTGGACTTAAGAAAAGCTTATGATGCTGTTTGGCATGATGGACTTATTCACAAGTTGAAGAAATTCAACTATCCTCTTTATCTCATCAAACTAATTGTATCCTTTTTAAAAGACAGATCTGCATTTGTCTCTCTGAACAAATCTTCCTCGTTTATCTTCCAAATTCTTGCAGGCGTTCCGCAAGGTTCTGTAATTGCTCCTCATCTTTTTAACCTTTTCATTAACGACATTCCTCAGCCTAATGTAGGTGAATTAGCACTATTTGCTGATGACACGGCCTACTTCGTTGAGGCGAGTTCTCATGACCTAAAGTTTATTAAGAGTAAATTGTTAAACGCAGTCCAAACTTTTCAGTCATTTTTCCAAGACTGGAAAATCTCACTTAATGACAATAAGACTGAATTCATGATCTTCACGAGATCAACCAATATGATCCGTATGTGCCAAACTGATAAAATAATCCTTAACAATATCTCTCACAGCTGGAAAGCGCACGTAAGATAACTTGGTGTTCATTTGGACGTATTCGTCCCTATACTCCTTACTTAAGAAAAAGTCGGGTGTGACAAGCGATTCCAAACTTCGTATCTACAAATCCATTATCCGACCGATATTCGTTAACTGTGCCAAGACCAATTTTAATAAATTACAATTGTTCCAAAACAAAATGCTGAGACAAATCTTTGAAATCAACTGGGATGATTTCATCTCAAATGAATCTATCCATTCTCAAGCCAATATACCATCAGTTCATGAATATGCATTTAAACTTTCTCTAAATTTTTATGCTCAGTGCTCCTCGCATAATAATAATTTGATTGCCAATTTAGGTCAGTACAATTATGACTCTCTGGATTTCAGATTGAAGCACAGACTTCCAAAACCTCAATCTCTTAAAGATTAGGTTTTTTTCTACTATTCTTTTTTATTTTATTTTATTTTTTCTATAAAACTGCTATCACATTGGATTTTTTTTAACAATTTTTTATCCTTTAACTCATCAAACTGTCTTAACTTCATAATCTCGAACTAAAAATCATTGTAAATTTAAATTGAAACCGAAAAGGTTGGTGTTAAAATTAAGCTCCTGTGACATGTAAAATGCATCTAATTTCATAATAAACACACTATTATTATCATTTATTTAAATAGAAAAATAAACGTTCATTTCGAATTTGAATGTTAAACGGTAATTTTTAATTGAAACTTATAAGGGGCCGTTCACTAATTACGTTACGCAAAAAAACGACTTTTTTCACCCCCCCCCCCCTCCCCCCTTGTTACAATATGTTACAACTCACAACCCCCCCCCCCTGAACGTTCATAATTTATTTTATCATTAAAAAGGTGAAAAATTTGAAAAAAAAAAGTTTTTGGTATGAATTTGTAAACAAATTTTTTCGTGAACTTTTTGTAAAGACAGACGACAGTTAGAACGTTACATACTTCTTGACCCCCCCCCCCCCCCCCCCCTATGTTACATTTTGTTACAATTTTTCAAACCACCCCTCCCCCCTAAAATGCGAACGCAATAAGTGAACGGCTCCTAACGGCTATTTCGAATTTGAATTTCAACGGTAAACAGAAATATAAATTTTCGTGCAGGAAAATGACTGCGCTTATCGTTAATTATAGTATTAGTCTACGATTAATTTTAATCCTAAGATTAGCTCCGATTGTTTCTAATCCGAGGTTCAGCTCCAGATTATTTAAAATCGTAGAAGTAGCTTTTGTCATTCAAAAACTAATAGATTTTCCAAAAAAATATCCTTCCAAAAATAACCCGTGATATATTTTATTTAATTATTTAATATGTTTAATAACAAATTTCTCTATTGCCATATTAATTGAGCTTGTATTTGCAATACTAATATGACAACTAATGTCATTTTTGCTTTCAAAGTACGAGATAATGTATCAATATTAACAAAGAAGAGAAGAGAAGAAACTGTCAGCATTAAGCTGCTTCACGCATATAGATGCTTTCATTATCATATTCTTCAAACGAGCGGCTTTTTTTTGATGACGGAACCAAATCATTGCACAAACTTTGGAAGCATATTGGTGATAAATTATGTCGAAATAGACTCAAAGTGAACCAAAGTCCTAAATCCCCATTCTTACTTATTTCCTTACATTTACCTAGTGTAACATCACGTTCCATCATTCGACCGACTTGAAATACGCGTAATTTTTTGAATGAATAAACTACGATCAAGTAGATGAAGTGAAAAATTGCACACAAAAGTATCAAGATGAACCAAACGTAAATGATGGAAAATATCTTATTGTTGATAACGTTTTGAGGTAGGATGCATAATGAATCATGATTCTGTATGCCTCCAGATGGACCAAAAACTTGGAAATTGCACTTTGCTTGTACTGGAAATAGACGTGAAGAATCCCGATTAAATTGCGTGTAGTTGCCAGCAATTAGCGATGATACAGCTGGTTGATAAACATTAAAGAAATTCTTGATGACGACATTTAAGAGCAGCATATTTATAAGAATAACGATAATAGTGAGGAACTCGCAGAAAAGATATTTTAGTGCGTACTGTCGATGATAGCTCAATTTAACTTCTTTAATATAGGCAACTAATTGCTTACGTTGCTTATCCCAGTCATCAGTAAACACAGGAGAGGCTTCGATTAATTAAATTATTTACTATTATATTACAAGCTACAAAACATTAAGCTACTTACAAGTCTTATTCAAAAGCTTCATCATCGTTCCTTTCTCGTAAATATGCCAAAGTGCCCGTGGAATGTACATACACAGTGTTTGAAACAACAATAAAGGCACAATCCATTGATAGAATCCAAATGTCAAGAATTTCGTTTGTTTACCCTTCATAGGTAGACTTCCAACGCCATAATAGATATTTTCTTTCCCTATTTCTCGCTCAATCATGTTCTCATCGAGAAAAACTCCATCAATCCAGCATTTTAGTTCCATAGCTGCAATCCAAACTTTGTCTGACGAAAAGCATTGAATTGGATGTCTGCAAAGCCATTATTGAGATAATTCTATCATAAATACATTAATTAAAGGTATTTTAACTTACCCAAATAAGTGTCTTCCACTTATTAATATAATGAAGAGAATAAACATGTTGACTGTATATTTTGTGATCAATTTGAAGATAAATGATGTTGTTCTAACATCTTTCGAATGCCATAGAGGAGAAATTTTCTTAATAATCTGGTCAAGCATATTGTTGCATGCATTTAGTGCCTATTTATCGTTTAATTAAATTATTTCTATTTTTGGCACTTTTTTTTGTTCTTGCAACTTAACCTTAACTTTTTTTGAATTTTGAAAAACCGTTTTAAATTAGATTGTGCACTTAATCAATTAACACGTGAATATACTTACATTTTGATACTATTTGATGATCATTGATCATTAGAATTCATTTAACTTTGAATGAAATGGTTTGAACGAGTCAAAAATCACCAAATAAAAGAAAAATTTGAAACTTTATGATTCCATGCGAAAATTTCTCATCAGAATTTTTGAAAATCAACAATTCGTAAGTTTCTTTGATTTAATTGTAGACAAAACTGATAGCAAAGAGTTTAAGTCAAAGGAATTGATAAGAAAATGAATAACATATTAAGATAAAATAAGATTTTTAAATCAATTAACAACTAGTCAGGATTCATGATTGATATTGGATTAAATTAACCGTTATAAATTTCACTTTTATTAAACTATAATTTTGATTAAGAAGTCAATAAATGAACTAAATCAAGCAAATAATTCCTTTTTAAAGAGACAAAAATCAATAAAACGTGAATATTTTCAAAATATCTCTTCACAGACCAGAGAAAAAGCAGTCAATCGGTCAATGAAGATATGGATAGATAAGCACAAAAGGGTACTAAAGATTATTTGACAACAATGACTACATAAAAAGCTGTTCAAAGTCATTGTATATTCTCTCAAGCTTCGATCTTGAAACGAAACGAATCTCATGAACTTCACATTTCAAACACACTTAAAGTCAGCAAAAATCCAAAAGTAATGACACCCATGACAGTGAATATGTGATACTAAGGAAGTAAGCATATATGTTTGTAGAAAAAAAAAATCTCAATTCGTCGACAGCAAAAGTCACGAGTCATTTAATCGCCTGTTAAGTCATGAGAAAATTCTGTCAGCGGCATGAAAGCAAAAACAATGTTTTTGTGTGTGCTTTGTAGTTTCGGAACTAGCAGAAAGTCAATTTAAAGTTACAAGTTGCTTACATAAATATTGGATTAGAAATGTGAATGATGTCAGTAGTGACTGATTTGAAATATTTCATGCAAATTATTTGTAATTTTATTTTAAAGATAGTCTGACTAGAGTCAACTTGAGCATTGGTTTAGCATCCAAATGTGAACATGAAAACATCAAAAAATTCAAAAAAGATTTGACATTTACTAGTGGCAAGCGATCATGGTTACGCACATCTCCTACACGCATTTAAATGTGTTATTTTTCATAGAAAAAACAGACGAAACGTTTAATGTTTCAAAATGTAAATTGTATCCAAATTATTGAAGCCAAAAAATCATCTGCTTGAATGATGACGACATTTCACGTGTGTCAATACATTATGAAACACAAAAAAAATATTAACTGGCGATGGATCGAGTAAACACATTATAAAGTCACACAGTTCTGGTCAGCATAATTTACTCATTTTTGTTGCTACACCTGTATTTTTTTGCGTCATTTTTCTACAGTGTAAAGTTTCTATAAGAAAGAAGGAGTCAGCAGCTGAGTGTGAAATGAAAATTTCTTTTAAAAACGACGACGACGGAGATGAGATAATTGGCAAGAGATTCTGTAATTTCTCTAAATTGAAATTGACTGCAATTAAGATTATGACATTGAAAAAATGTTCTTTGTGCTATTTATAGGAACTGAGAGCTAATGTGTTTGTAGTTTATGTCAATTTTCATGTCGATACTTAAAAGTTGTTTTAATACGATAGATGTAGAAATTTATCAAGATGTGTTGAGGAGTAAGGAACTGCTGGGAATCTGAAACTGTTGCTATACGAAATATTTTGAACCGAAAAATTGAAATTGAATTCAGATTTTGAACTTAATTTGAATTAAAAATGACAATTAAAACTTTTCGAGTTTAAAAAAAATTCACAAGTAATTTCTTCAAAAAATTTAAACATCTCAATCAGTGAACAATCAGCTAATTCTCAACGCTGAACGTCGATGTCTCCACAAGCTTATTCATTATTCATCATCACACTTAGAATATCAAACATTTTCATTTGTAGCGTTCATTTCTTAACAAAACTATTTTAAGTGCACTTAGGCAATGAATGAGTTAATATTCAACAATTTACAATAATTAACAACCCGTAGATGATATCACTACACGATCATCATGTCGTTGAGAAGTTAAAATGATTTTTTATGTAGAATAAAAAAAATTTCAGTAAATCAGATTTGACTTTCAGTTGTCGCAACTAGAAAATTAATTGACATACACAGCACGTTTACTGTTGAACTACCAAATAAACATTGCGCTTCTTTGTTTTGACTATTTGCGTCACCACAAAAATTAAATGCGATCACTCGTTTTAGAAATAAAAAGAAAATTATTTTATTGACATTAGGAGAGGTTAGGAAGATATAGTTTTCTTTTCAACAAACTTCGTTCATTGACTTGGTCGTTTTTCTTTCATCATAGAAATTAATGTAAACGCAATTTTGTTATTAAGAAAAATTATTTTTGAAATATTGATCTTGAATTTTAAGATTTTTAATTAAAAATAATGACTTACATTGTAAAGAACTAAGTACTCCTGATTACTCATTTCATTTTTTGAACCAATCCTTCAAAATCCACTTCGACTTTACTGTATTAACATTCACAGTCCTAACATTGTCTTCATTTCTTGATTGGGTTAAAAAAAACCTTTATTAAAGAACATTTACATTACTAATTACATCATATCCATCTGAATTACATCAATTCCAACTTACGTGTAGGTCGAGACATGTCAATAAAAAAATCAAAAATTAGAAACAAATTTTTCACGAAGCTATAAACTCATTCGATATTAAAGTGGATATATTCCTAGCAGTAAAATGATCATCTGTGTTTTATAGACATTTTTTATGATTTTTTCTGACTTTGATTTTCAAAAAATTTTCATGATGAAAATTATTTTTGGGTTTCTGAAGGGCATTCGAATTAAATTCAATTGGTGGTTGATTCAATTGAAGGGATGCAAAGAATCACAAATGTAGTAACTTTACTGTAAAGTAATTAAATCTTGTTCATCGCATTACATATTTAAAATTACTAATCATCAATAATGAACATATCAGATTTCACTTATGACTTATTTCATTAATGACGTTCGACCCCTACCGATTTGTATTCACACGATGATAAATGTATTTAGATGAAAAATAGAGATATTTAAGGAACAGTTTTATTAATGGCTTACAAGCAATGGCAATGGTTTTGAGACATTTTCATTAATTTTCATGATAATTTAAAAATATTCATCGTTATGCTTCGAAAAAGGGCTTTGCTTGGGAGTGTCAAATGGTGATGAAAATATGAATAAATTTGTATTGATTTCCGTGGAGGAACTGTGGAATTTATTAATCTATGATTAAGTTCAAGATTAGGGAATTTCGGTTTTAGTAAAATGAATATTTATTTTACTCAAAGATTGACTTTACTCAAAAATGTAAGAAAATAAAAGATTCCATTGAAATAAATGAAGTTTGCAAAAATATTCTTTAACAAACTCATTAAACTGTGCAGCTTCTTCAAAATTTCTTTCTCTCATTCCTCAATTCTAGTCTCGACTTTATTTGAACCACAAAAAAGAATCAAACTTAAATAACCTTCTAAATTATTCACATCAAGCGGTCATCGTATGTCCACATCTAATGGGTTACTTTCGCAAAAAATATAAAGAAAAATAAAACATAATCATCTGCCTGAGTTATTTTTAATCCGAATCTTCTAAAAAGAAAAGTTTCTAAAAATACGAAAAAGAAAATTTTGTTGTAGAATAAGAAGAGTCCACATGGAGCCATTCATATTTCTTTTACAATATTTTGGCAATAAAAATAAGACGATTGAGGATGAAAATTCGTTCGTGTGCTATTAATCGGTTTGACTAAGTCAGATGATTTTAATAGTATGCTAATTTTATTTTGATTTTATCTGGACATGTTTGCTTTTATGTGGATATTTAAAGAAACTTTCATTGAATTAACTTGCTACGTGATCCGTTAAGAATATTTAATAGGAATTATCGAGGTGTGAAAATAGTTTTAATCTTTTTTGATAATCTTTTGATTGGTTTCTCCTGAATCATTTGGATTTAGTTCTCTTTTGAAGCTGTTATCTTAATCTTTATGGTAGATGTTTGAAATAGCTATGAGCTTCATTGAAAACCGATTTCCAATTATTTTGTGACTTAAACGTATTAATTAATCATTAAAATCGAATTCAATACTCATTCATAAATCGCACATACCGAAAAATAATCAAATTTACCAATAAAAACACACAATAATCAGCCACTTATAATAACCATAATAAAAAGGAATTATAGAGTCTATCAATATAAGAAAATCTTAGACACATATTTTACTAGACACGCCCATATAATACCACACATAATTCCAACTTATAGCAATACACTAATGCATTATCATTACTATCAATAATCGATTGAATATCTAATGAGGAAAAATCACTTCCTTGAGTTCACTGACCTCATCGATGTGTCATGACACTCTAGTTTACAATAAATAGAAAAATTATTTTTAAAGTCAAGTACATGGTTGATTATTTATAGGATGAATGAAGATATATCCTATAAAATTTGTAGATTTAAATATTTTTATAAATATTAAGATTAATCAAGCGAGTCTTTGAAACTTCTTGTTTATTTCATTTGATCCAACCTACACACCTTGTATCTAGTTTGTCGTTTATTAAATTTAACATTTTTGCGGATTAGAGTAATCGACTCAATTAGCGATTAATTTATTTGATATTTTTTTAAAATTTATTTCTGAAGTTGATAATTTTGTTGACAGTCATCAATCAAAAATAACGAGGAAATTTTGCGGTTTCTGAAATTTGAAATAAATTAACTTATCTCAAGTTCAATTGGCTTTTTATATTAAATGAAATTGGCAACTTATATTTAAATAATTATTTGTCTAATTTTAGATTCTAAGACTCTTAGTTTAAATTCTTAGATTCTCAGACTGAGATCTGAAAATTTGAAATTCCAATTCCAAAATTTAATATTAATATTAATTTCCTTTATTTTATCAACAGCTGAAGCTCTTAAATGTTGGCGATGCTCATCAGATGCCTCCACATCAGCATTTTGTGACGATCCTTTCGATCCATCAATTATAAATGATCAGGTAAAAACCATTAACTTCTCTTACATTCCTAAACACTACAATTGAGTCGTGCTCACAGTCCATTTTCAGTAAATTAGGGATTCACAGGCAAAACAGTACTGAAGTATGTAAAAGGGCTTAATTTTGAAATTGTGGAATGTTTCTGCTAACAAAAATGTATTTTGTGATGAATTTAGAATTATAAATTGCTTGAAATATTAATCCTTAAATGACATAACATTGTTTTTGCTTTAACAGAACCAAGATAGTATCTTAATTCTCGAATTATCATAACAACAATTAGAGTTGTGAATTTTAAACATTCAAGTAATTTTAATGCTAATCTGAAGTTTAGCTTTAATCTTTCAACTACAATTATTGATTTAATCCGATATAATATTTGTACTGATTGCAAATTTAATAAAAATTATTTAAAGCTATTGTAGTAGATTTTCAAACTGTTCCAGACCATAGAAAAAATTGAAATGAGTCAAAAAAAGAGTTCAAAAAACTTTAAATCACATCCAATTTTTCAAGTCTGGTTCATGATTATTTTACAAAAATAACTAATCAACTTAAATTTTTTACTCAATAAACAAACAGCAACGCAGATGGGCATATGTGGATTGTAGTTTCCCAACAACAGGCCAATCACCATATGCATCATATGGATCACAGTCATCTCGTCCAGTTTGTAAAAAGATGAAACAATTAAGTGAGTATATTTTTGACACATTGATCTTTAGATTTGAGTGACTAAGATTTGATCTAGTAGTAACTTCATAAAAACTATATCATTACTTAACAGCAACCCAATAACCTACAAACGCAGATAAATCAAACATCTTCAACAGACTAGCATTAAAAAATGCAAAAAATAAATTCTTCAATTTATTTTAATCGAAGATAAATTAGGTTTAGCAAATATTTGTCATTCTGGAGGAAGAGTTTAATTAACCTCACAATTCTGACCTTTTCGAGTTTCATTCATAAAACGATTTAGACAAATAATGGCTTTGTATTCTTGTTTACTATAGACTATACAAGACTTGACAATCAAGAAATTTATTAAAGAATATAATTTTTAATTTATTCAATTTTCCGAACTTTTTTTGCATTTTTTATGAGAATCACGAAAGAAAAGGGCAAGAAAGGAATTAAGTGAATATTAATGAGAATGGAAAAGGACAAAACCGTAGAAATCTTGATGGAAAATATAAATTAATTTTTTGGATGAAAACTTTCCATCCCTAATTTATCAACAAAATGCAGTTAATGAGCCTTGTTCATTTTATCTCTTTAGAAATTTCCATGAGTCATGTTGTTTTCATAATTTTTTTGTTGATTTTTATCATATACGTACTCATGTAATTAGCAAGACATAATGCTTCTATTGTTCTAAAAGTTCTCAATTATTAGTAGATATAAATGAAAATTTCCAGTGTATCATCATAGCAAGGTCAAATGTAGAGTGAAAAACTAGTATGAATTCGTGCTAGTATGAAAAACTAGTATGAAAAAAACTATTCGTATATGAACGAACAAGACAAATTTGGCAGGAAAATAGTTAAAACACGATTATTGAATCTTTTATTTTCAAATGGATAACTTAAACAATTGTTAGAGTGATTTAATTTTCTCAATTAAATCTTAAAACTTTAAAAATTTGAATCAGTTTTAATGAAAGACAAACAAATCTCAAAGTGCTGATTCTATCATCAACTCTCATACGAATACCGCATTGAGGAACAAATTGATCAATGTGATGTAAAAATGCAGTCGTACAATCAGTTACATAAAAAAAATTGATTAAATATCAATAGATAATTGAAGAAATATTATGAAACGAAAGAATTTTGATTGAAATCAATTAGCGGAAGATTTCTGTTCTTGTTTCATTTGATTTAAAGCTGAGAATTAGTTAATAGAATCTGTTACAGAATTTTCTCGCTTGCAACTGACACTAAAACTGATATTTTATTATTCTAGAAATTTTTTCAACTTTTAATTACTGCAGTTGTATTAATTATAGTGCTTTTTCACACAGTGCTACTCTCGAACGCAATAATTTAATTGCATATAATTAAAGATTTAATCGTGATTTAATTTTTAAATATATTTATTTGATTTTTCATGCATTTTACTAGTAAATCTATTAAAAATTGGTCTGTCTGTCATCGATTTAAGTTGATTTATGCAGATTATAGGGTATTATGGGTTGTCTGTTTACTTTTTAAATAATTTACATCCAGGCTTTGATTTAAAGGTTCTTTCAAAGTTGATTAACCTTGTCAAAAATCTAAAATTTTCCCGCCTAAAACTAGATTTTATTTCGAAATTAAACACGTCTAAAAGATTAGCTACTAAGCTAGAGTCACTCAGATCTAAAAAACTCCTAAAGTTCCAATAATTAACTCAAAACTCATTTATTTTTTTGACCACAGTTAACGATAAGGTTGTCATCTCAAGATCCTGTTCCTGGGAGGACATCAATGCACCAGCTGACAGTTGTATGAGAACAACAACTCCATCATACATTAAAACAGAATTCTGTGAAACATGCGGTCACGATGGATGTAATAGTGCAAAAAAGTTCACTGCAGCAACAGTGCTCGCCCTCATACCAGCAATTTTCGCTTTCATCTTAGCTTTATAAATATTTTGTAATGAAGACTTTAAAAAAAAATTATAGAATAAAGTGAGGAAAATAGTCAGTATTTTCTTCTCTTTAATTTCTTCTTCTTGTTTTCCTCCTCGCTGTCAAGATTTTTGGCGTGATGATGAGGAAAATTTTGTGAAAAATGATGAAGATTGTTGCTAAGTAAAAGACAACGTTTTTAGGCGAAAATCGATATAAAAAAATTCTTTTCAATAAACTTTAACAATGGAAAAATATTGTGAAATTTTCTGGGTTGGGAAGGCTTTTTGGATTTTGTATAATATTTAAATTAAATTTATTGCATTTTTACAATTTAATTTTTTATAAAATTTCAAAAAACCTTCCCCCTCTAATGGAAATTTAATTAAATCTAAATCTTCTCTACACACCATAAAATTTCTATTTAATACAAAATCTATACTTTAATGACATACAATAATAATAATCTTAATGAATTCACACAGATGCCTTTTTTTAAAACAAGAAATAAATATTTAATTATAATTCAAAGTGCATGCAGTCAAGTTAAAAAGTTTAAATATAATTAAGAATTTGAAAAATTGTAACTTATGCTGTAGATTGGTGTAATTTTTTTAAAACTTTTTGTTCCCTTCTTCAAACTTTAAAGTTGGGAGTTGCAGGAAAAATTTTCACTCCCATTTGTGTGCATAATGAAACTTTTTTTTGTAAACTTCCTTGAACTTTTCTTGCTGTCTGGAAAAATGTGTTTGTTAAAAATAAAATGTCTTGAAATGAATTTAATTGAGCTGAATCTCAATACTTGGTAGGTGTCAGAAGCGAACATAATAAAAAAGGGGTTTCTTGAATTAGAAATTGAATTTCAGTTGTAAAATTTATGTTTAAAAATTTAAACAAAAATTTTAAGATCAATCTTTTAAAAATTGTGTAAGATCTTGTTAACACCCTCTGTCCCGTCACCCTATCCAAGTATAAACTCAAAAAATTTAAAAATCCAGAAACTAATCACATTTCAAATTCTTCTAACTGTAATTAAGAACGAATTTCTGTCATAGGCTAAAAATATTAGTATTTTAAAATCGTCCTTTTTCGTTTAACATTAAAATATTTCTTAATTTAATAAAATTTATCGCACATTGTGTCGGGTAAAATCTATTTTTAAAAAATTTATCTCCCAAAATTGAATCATATCTGCTGATGAATTTAAGTATATATTATCAATTGTGCAAAGGTAAATGCATAAAATCCTTCAATTTTCAAATAAATTTAAAATCCTTCTGCACCCAGCGTATTTTGTAGCTACCAAACCAAAAGTTTAAAATGCTTTCTCGAAAACAAATCAACGAATTAGTGCACATAATTAACGTAACACAGAGAATAAAAGTTATAGTAATAGTAATCAAGGTGCTTCAACTCTTTTTAATTTGTCATGTTAAGAACTAAAGATTGACGTAAAAATTCTTAATTATCAATTTTTTTTATGTAAAGTTCTCACAATAATCGACCAATCCACCCAATTATTGGATTGTTTAATTATAATTCTTGTAATTGGGTGTAACATGGGTCAAGAACTTTGAATAATTGATTAAGATCAGGCAAAAGTCTATTTCTGAGTTGAACAGCCTCAGTGACACGAGGTTAAGCATTGAACCTAGCAATCATGAGTTCCAAACTCAGCAGGATAGTAAAGATGTTGACGCACCTACATAGATTTAATTTTGTGAGCCAACACTAATTGATTCACCGGTACATCCAACAAATAATTATAAATATCCACAAAAATCACTCGCAAAAATAGATGCATTAAATTTTTAATTCCACCCCAAATCAAAAGATATACTTCCTTTCCTTTTTGTAAATAAATAAAATCGAGAAAAAAGATGGTGAAAACAATCAGTGAAATACATTTGACGTCATTAAGCATTAATTTTAATTTATTGTAAAGAAAAAAAAATGAATGAAAATAAAAATATACGAAAATCTTGCTTAATTGGATTAAAGAACTAAATAAAGAATTGAACAAAACAGAAGACATTAATTTTCATTTTAATTGAAATAAATTAGGTAATTTGATATATTTCAGCATAAGTGGACACATTGAGATTTTTAATGCTACCAATTTTGAATGAATAACCGAGGAAATCATCCGTTGATAAGTTTCATTAATGAAAAAGACTTGAATTACAGATTCATTCTATTGTTAAAGGTCAAGCAGCTGTTGCAGACAATTGTCATTAAAAATTTAACTTTAACCGTTAAAAAAGCTCACAATTTAAATTTCGAAAGCTTTTTTTGTCATTGTGTGGGTGACTTTTTCGAAATCACCAAGATGACCAAATCCCACCAACACAATCGAATTCAAATTATTATTTTTCGAAAATATAGGTGTGACAGATTAGTGCACATAAATTATATTATCTTAAGGAACGCAACTTATTTCATCCGTCCGCAATACCTTAAAGTGCCTTACAATTATGAATAAGACTCACCTTTTTATTGTTGCTGGAATATTTCTGGTATTTGCAGCACAAAGAGGTAAAAACAAAATTTGTTTATTGACACTTGTTAAAATTCTTCCAAGCATTCAAAAACTGGAATTTAAGAATGAAAAAAATAAAAAAAATTTAAAACCTTTTCAGTATTCTCAATAAAATGCTGGGAATGTCGTAGTGATTCCGATCCAAAATGTGCAGATCCCTTTGACAACAGCACACTCTCAATCACAGATTGTAGACAAGCCGATCCAAAGGAACATTTGCCAGGAGTAAGAGCAACAATGTGTAGAAAAATTCGTCAAAAGGTTCATGGTGAATGGAGATACTTTCGTTCTTGTGCATGGATGGGCGAACCAGGTATTGAAGGAGATGAAAGATTTTGCCTTATGAGAACAGGAACGTACAACATTTTCATGGAGTACTGCACATGCAATAGCAAAGATGGATGTAATAGTGCTGGGATTATCAATGGAAAGTTTGTTTGTGTAGCAATCATGCTGATATTTGCGCTCATAACACGTAAAGTGTTTGTTTAGATTTTTGAAGTATCTTAGGATAATTACTTAGTGCCTTTAGATATAGGGTTGGGGTTGTGATCCTTCAAGAACATTTTTGTAGTAAAATTTTCAAGTGATTCTACCTCTTAAAGAACATTCCAAAGTATCAATGGCTATAGTATTCTATAAATAACAATTATGGATTAGGCAAGCTAGTTTAGCATTGCAATTAATCCAGTAGCTTTGAAAATTATTGAAGATGAAAATATTCTTGAAGAAAGCAACTCTAAATATTCCGGCAGTTCACTCACAATCAATAGTATAGAATAGTATTAAGTCTACTTAACAATGAAGATCGGTATTTTTGAGAGGAAGTGAGTTTGAGAAAACCAGACAAGTTTGGTATTAATCATGTTAATCTAAGCAAGAACGAATTCAACCCCAAAGTCTCACTAATGAATACACTTCTGTAATAATTAAATATTGACAATGAGTCTCATACATTCCGTCCAGGATCAACATACTTTTGTTTTTGTATATTTAAACGATAAGAAAAGTTTTCCAAAGTATCTGAACGAATATTAGAATTTTTAAGGATCTTTTTTGATAAATAAAATTTTAATAATATTTTTAATTAAATTATGATGAATGATTGAGCTCAATTTTCAGCACTTGACTCGTAGGATTATTTCAGCCTTGACTCAAATTCAATTTTTCTTTTGCATGAACATTCAGTAGACTAAAAATAATCATCATGATTCGCACGACAAATACGGTATTCTCATGGTCCGACAGTCTGATTACTTTCTCAATTATATCTTCATCAACACTTACCTTAAAGAAACTTCACAATTAGGATGGCAACAATCGTTATTTTTCTAATAAGAATTTACCGACCAGCAAGTGAACTTGAGATATGTCCTATTAGATTTATTACAGAGACTTGAGGGTAAACAAAAGAAACTGCAAATTGGATGAAATAGCACTTTTTATGAACATACCCACAACGAGTTTTCGAAAATCTAATGCTGAGCTTTTTCGAAGTATTTACAATAATCTTTAGATTTTATGTTTAAATTTAATTTTTAAGTGATCTTGTCATCTAATAATTAAAATCAAAATGGATAAAAAGTGCCTTTTAGTAGCTTTCATATTTTCAGTATCAATCTCATCAGGTATGCCTCGGGACTCTCCTAATATCGATAAGATTCATAATTACAGCAACTATGACCACTCCCAATAACAACAAAATTTTAAATTGATATATCCAATTTCAGTAATCTCAATTCGGTGTTATCAGTGTTCATCACAAACAGATCCAAAGGGTGTTGACAACTGCGGTGCTTACGAAAGATTTAATAAGACACAAAATATTCCAATTGAGTGTAACAGTGATGAGTCACATATGCCTGGGTCTTTCTGTATGAAAGTTGTGCAGCAGGGTCCTCGTGGATTTATTTGTGAGTATATTGGAGATTTAGCAGTTGCAGTTGTTTGGATATTTTAATGAACATTTGATTCGCAAGTATTCAGACATTCAACGGAATCAATATCCAGCATCTCTAGTTCTAATCATGAAGTAAATTTTAGCTTATACGAACATTTATTTAATATTACAGGGGACGGACGATGGCGTCAAGTAATAAGACGTTGTGCATCAGTCGCTGATACTGGTGTTACAGGAGTGTGCAACTGGGGAGTCTACGAGAACGGAGTGTACTGGGAGGAATGTTATTGCGCAGAGGACTCATGCAATCATGCGCTTAATCTACAAACATCAGTTAAACTTGTCACGAGTACCCTACTACTTATGCTAATAATGAAATTCCTTCAGTCATAAACTTTAACTCTCCGCATCATTAATTGACTCAATCATTCATTCATTCAGCAACGTCGTTATCGCCATTGTACAACTTTTTTTATATGTTGAAAGCTACTAACAATGAAAACAATAGGAATTGATTGTGAATCTCAAAGTGTACATTCCAAAAGAAATCTAATTGAATTACAGATTAAGTTTAAGTTTATGTTGTTTGTTTAGACGCTTGAAGAATCTTGCTGTGGTATTTACATGCTGGTTGTTGGATCATTTGTGACATAATTCGAAATTTAAGTAGACCTAAATGGCACAACAAAGCAAATCTTATTTTTCTCTGTCAAAATGTGTCTTAATATGCTAAAGTGACTTTGTTGTGCTGTTGGGGTAAAAGAATTACTGGAAATTGTTAAAAATTCTTTGGAACAACAAAAGGAATGACTTAATTGAATTTGGCAACAACAATATTAATGCGTTTTGAAATGGACTGGAATTTACTAGGAATTATATGACATACAATATGCTTTTCACAATGTGTTACGAAAGGCAACTTAGGAATTTTGTGATTGATTTTACGGTACTGAATACAAATCAAATCTAGAGTGATGCTTCTTCTTGGTAACTATTATTGAACAGTTCAAGCTTTATAAAGCTACAAAATAGAGTTCAAGCCTCACTACACAAAGAAATATAGCAACAGCACTGTTTGTTAAAGTTAACTTGACATCACGTCCAACAGTCATCAATTAAGTCAGCAAAAAACGAAGAACTATGTTTCATTCACAATAAACAAGTTGATAAGAGATATTTACTTCAGATTTCAATCTTTCAGTTATTTAACACCATAGAAACATCCATGACCTTTTCTCAAAAATTTCATTTACTATTACGTGAGTGAAAGAAACAACCTAAAGCAAGATTCTTCAAGTGTAGATTAGCACTTAGTTCAAAAAACTCTTTTATTAGATTCTCATTTTAACTCATAAATAAATTCGACTCCGTCCAAAAATGAAATTTATGCTGTAAAGCAATTGAAATAAACAAAAAACTTTTTACAGTCAAGATAAATTTTTTTTATTCTTCTAAATAGAGCTTTTTTTTGTTTTTATCCATTTCATAACTTTTTCATGTCATTTTAGAAGTTGTTAACGTTTTTATTTTATTTTTTGCTTTGAGCTAAATCTAATAAGCTTTTTTTTTGTCTATCTCCATCATCCAAAGGGGGAAAAATATTATTTTATATTTTTTTTTTCTTATAATTTTCTTATTTTTATTATTATTTCTGTATCATCACAATTTTCTTCCATCATGTCATATCATAACATTTAATAGTTTATAATTTGAGAAATAAAACGAGAAAGGGAGAGAATTAAATTAAATTTGTATGATATTCACACTTGCTGATAATGTTGATTCTCATTCCTTCTTTTTTTGTTGTTTCGAGAACATGCCCGAGCTGCACATGGGTGATGTGGGAAAGGTAATTAAGTTCTTGTTTTAGGTTGAACATTAGTGAATACTTTTTTATTTTTACTTTTTGGTTTGCAAACCAAAATCCTTCCAAGAGTGCCTCAAAATGACAGTGCACACAACATTAAGCAGCAAAATTGCCAATTTTACATAAGTTTTTGCCCAAAATCTAGCAATTTTGTACTTAAAAGAATGTAAACCCCAATTCAAAGACACATAACTTCAAACTTGATTAATTCACAAAAAGTTCAACCTTAATTTAACAAGTCTTGCACCGCAACACCACAACTGAAGCATAAATTTCCCCAATGTGCCACTCGGAATAACTTTGGAAAGCTTATTTAAACTTTCTCCTTCATCTTTCTCTTCTACTTCTTATTTCACGTGTACGATCAACTTAATAATGAGTTTTTCTTGCTTCCTTCATCGAAATACAATTGTATTCAGTGTGAATCAAAGATATCAAGACATGTTCTATCTGATAATTCTTAATTGAAAATTGATGAGAGTCTCTAATGATACGTGATATAAATTACTTTAAGGCTTTAAGCTATAAAAATAAGAATTTGCTTCTTTTTATTATTTGCGACCGTGTAAATTTGCTTCATTTCGTTTTGAATGCTCTTTCTTGTGTTGGAGGTGGGAGTCATTGAGGTATGAAATTTGTAACAATTGATTGAATTGTGACAGCCTTGAGGCAAAATTGGAAAAGTTTAAAGCTCATTTTTCAATTCTACACTAATTTAATTCACTTTAATCCCGAATTCATGAGCAATTCTTCTCCGGAAGAGTCATCAGTCTAAATCCAATCTAAATCTACCTCGACTTGACAACATTATTCAAGTAAAAGCATATTTAAACACAGTCATGACATTGAAGTGAATGAAAAACTCATTTCTTGAAAAATCACTTCTTAAAATTCCTCGCCAGAAATTTCTGACAAATATATGACACGTTGTGACTGTTCCTTGATATCCAACACGTGTTTTAATTTGTTTGAAACGAGAATGTTAAGTTCATTGTATATAGGCAGACAAATATCACAAAAGATGAACTTTTCATGTGTTATCAATTTGATTCTCACATTTCAAATGATCTTGATACATATTTGATATTTCAAATACATACGCGTGTGCCTGAATGAAGAGGAAAAATGTGAATTCACTGTCAAAAATTTCTTTTTCATACTTTTCATATTTACATTTTATTTATCATAAATATGAAGGTAAATATTCTTGTGCTGTGCAAATATTGAAGCCAAAAAAAAGAAAGAAAATTAAATTGTTTTCTTTATGAAATGAACATGATTTCTTTTAGAAACACCATCAAAATTCAATTGATGAGCCCCTTTTTCAGATAATTTTCAACATTTTGATTTTGATATCTTTGATTGGAGATGAAGGAAGGCATTGAAATCAATTTAAAGGCAAGACTTTTTTACTCTTTTGGTTTTTCTGAGTTTGACTTTTCATGTTTAATGATTAAGAATTCGAATTTGAGTTTTGATTTCTTTTTGCGAGCTATGAGCTTAGTGATAGAATTAATTTGTTTGGCTGAGGATTAGATGCTGGATTGCATTTATTTACTATGATGATATTTGCTTAATTTAGATTAATTCAGTGAATTCCTTAGATTCAAATCAATTCAGCTAATTCAGCCAGTTTGCAATATTAAAGGAAATAAGCTTATTACAACCATTTAAGCAAAATTAAGTCAATTCAGCAAAATTAAGTGAATTCAAGTCAATTCAGCTAGTTCTGCTCAATTCAGTTTGTTTAGCTAGTTATGACCAATTCAGTTTGATTAGCTCACCTCCGATATTTTTGTTCAATTTTATTGATGTCGCTAGTTCAGCTAATTTAATCAAATTCAGCAACTTCAGCTTACTTTTAATTAGTTTCGCTCAAATAGATACTTAAACATTAATTCTGTAAATTTAGGAAATTAAGTCTATTCAGCAGTATTCAGCAAGTTAATTTTTAACACAAGTTCAACAAATTACTCAAAACTCACGTCTTGAACTAAATTTTGCATCAAATTCTAAAACATTCAAATTCGAACCCGAGAAATCTGTTTCACTAAAGTCTAGATGTTTAAAGCTTTCCCGCAAGAAAAGCAAAAAAGTCTTACCCTTTCAAACAATAACATCCTTTTGTACACAGAAGAGAAAAGTTTTTATTTTCATTTTAGATATTTTTTTGTCGAGAAAGATATTCATTACCGTTTCGAATAACAATTTAGTGAGATTTCCTCTGAAAAACATTTTTTGTGTGTCTTATCTTCTTACCAACATCAAATATATTTTCTGTTTTTTTATGTTAATGGCTTAGAATTAAGAACTTTTCTTTTTATTGAGATATAATAATTGTAATATCAATAAATTGATGATCTAAATTTACAATCGCTCTTTATATTTTATATAACTTTTCTTTAATATTCTACATTTATGGTTGAATACAGTCAATGAATCATTTATCTAATATCATGTATAATTCTACACATTATTACTTAAAAATTATTGTCAGTACAAAAATCGCATATATCAATATGTGTACTTTATTATTAATAAAGTGATGAATCCTTCATATCATGAGATTAATATTAAATTTTATTTTAAATCTGAACGAGAATACATCAAACCCCTTTTTTTCATTGGTATGAAATATGAAAAAGCTCAAACGCATTAACATTTTTATTTTCAATCTACATATGCATATTTTTTTTATTTATTTTATTCTGACCACGGAGTATGACTTAATCCTTGGCTTGTGCTATTAAAATTATATATTTTTTTCTCTCTTGTCGGGAGTCATTCACTTGTGATGTCTAATATGTAATATGAATTTTTAGGGACGATGGGTAAGGAGGGTTTGTTGCGCTTGCTACGACACTGAGTAAGTTGGATAGGATACTTGAGCTATATGATATTTTGAACAACTTTTGAGACTAAGGAGGAGTCTATGAATAGTAATGACATCATTTGTGAACGACCTTATTTTTGTGATATTTTATCCGAAGTAATGAACAGATGTTTATGATGAATTTTATTTTTTTCTGTCATTTTTATGGATCCAAAAATAATACATAATATCATTACGTTACATAAAATACATTACCATGGCGTTACATAAATAAAATCTGCTTTTTATTGTTCTTCCTTCCTCTCTTTTCTGAGTACATCTTATTTTCATGGTAATAAATTTCATTTCTAGCCTCAAAAAATTTTCCAAATAATTTTCAATGTCAACAAATTTTTAAGCATTTAAAAAATTTTCTTTTTTCTTACTTTTTGATTTATCACAATGAAAAGTTTTTCTATTATTTTTTTAATGTGATTTTTTTTTTTGTTTTATTCTTTGACACTGAAAATTCAAACTGGAAAGTCTGAAAATGATATTTTTGTATCAATTATGGATCGATAAGTTCCTGAAATACATTTAAGTAGCTATTTGCGTTTTATTTGGGGAATTGAAAGAAACTTTTTCTCTTTGATGATGAAAAATTGAAATGGCAGTGATTTTATTTTAGAATTTCATACAATTTCTGAGAAAGAATCATTAGATTTTGATAAATTTGTTCAATTGGAAATGAAATATTATGGAAAAAGTTTTAAGATCATTTGAGATTAATAACATTTTTAAAGCTGTGAATTTCAATAATTATTTGTTGATTTTTCATTAAAAACTAGCTTTTCAAACTAAAATTCACTTTTAACAGGTTTCACAAATTTGAGAAATCTTTCACACCCCTTGTGTTTAGTTTTACATCCTTTTCATTTATTGAACACTCAAACGAGACGTTAAATTTGTAAGTTTCATTAGTTTATTTTCCACATAGACGCATATCTTGACAATGAGGATAAATTTTGGATTGTAAAACGAACGAGGTAGGTTTTTTTATTGCGTGCTTTTTCTTATTTCAGAACCGGAAATAATTTTCATATGAACTTTATCATTTGACATACATTCACGTCGTAGAATCAGAGCTACGCTTGCTTTATATGCAGATTCTTAAAAAACTTATAGGATGGAATGCATAAACCTACTTGAAATTATCTTTGTCCAATCTAAAGCATGTAGGATTGAACAAGAAACGAGCTGTATTTTACAAAATTATTTATTTTTAAGGAAGGGGGACCAGAGCAGCACATTATCGCTTGGCAATCATGTATTGCTCGGGTAATGAATTGTTTTATAGAAGCTACAGCAATTTTGTTTAACATTTCCATTGAAACTCTTTTTGACGAACAGAATTTTTTTTAATATTCTGTCTGTGTACATTCAGATTAGTCTTCTTCCTCATCCAAAACAAACTTTGTCTACGACAAACCGCTTAGAAGCCCTAAACACCATGACTTTCTCAGCTTGTATCAAGATTTAAACAACCGCCTACAGTGTTTGTAATAAACTTACAAATTTTCATCAAATAATTCCTCGGAAAGAAATCTTTCAATTCCCCAAAAAAAAAAGTCTTGAACAAATTTTTTGGTATTTTAAAAAGCAACACAAGATGTTAAGCAAATCCACCCACTTCATGCCCCAAGCATGGTTTTTATCGCCTTGAAAACTGCGAAAAAAAAGTTTAATTTTATGTAGTTCTCTTATTTTTTCTTCATGGTAATTTCTCTCTATGGCAACACACTGAACACAGATTCAATTAATTATTTAATTTGATTTTATTATCCTTAATTTTAAGTTTTATATTCTTTAATATCATCTATCATCATGATCGTCAATTTATTTTTATTATTACTAGTAATTTAATTTTTTAAAAGGATGTAGGAATAGCGAAAATAAAATTGTTACAAAAAACGAAGGAAGTTATAATTTATTATCGTACATTGAATGACGTTAATTTACATTTTATGGAGGGTCGGGAAGGAAGGAAGGTAAGGAAAGTTATTCAGAAGCAAGGACTCTTTGTTTTTCTTGGAATTCGGATATTTGAAGCTTGATTTTTGATATTAATTGTTCAGATTTCGTTGGAATGACTGATTAGATCGATTTTATTTTAATAATATAAAAGCCTTCATTTGTCTTTCTGTCATTCCGCTTTAAGCCCACTTTCGTACAATTTTCAAAATGGCGATTTGTTTGTTTATTGAAATCTCTATATAAACCCAAATGATCCAACTAGAAAACTTTATTTCACGGGAGTTTTAAATGCTGGCTGTAATTTATTACGGGATATCATACTAGTTTTGAAATAAGGATTGATTCGCTTTAAACATTTTGGAATGTTATCCATAAGTGACTATATGGACAGGATACGCAAACCTAGCTACACGTTCATTTGAAAAATTAGCTTACCAACTTGGTTTTTACTTATTCTTTCTACTTGGTCGCATGTGCTAAACAGTTCAAGAATTATTGGAAGAACAAAGCACTTCCTTTATTGATATTGTAAAGAATCCCTTAGCAGGAAATATTTTACTTAAACTTCAAATTTTCTTAATTAATACCATAAGCTTCTAGAATATGTCAAGCTTTGAACTAGGTTTGTAAATTTAATGGTTCTGGATCTTAAAGGATGCGACGAGATCGAATCCTAAGACCTCAAACGCGCTAAAATCATAGAATATTTGGAAAATTAATAGACTACTCTCGAATTAAGCAAACTAGCTCATCATGAATTGTTTACAAGCTATAGATCAAACAAAAATGCGCCGTTAATTAACAAAGAAACTTTATCTACGTGTTCATCATTTCCTTTTTTTTATTATCAGCCTTGAAGGTATGAAAAAGAAGTCCTTGCTCCTGGGTTAAAAATATGTAATCATAAACGAAATTTTGCGGTATGATGATGACAACGATAATTTTTATAAATTGACTGCAGATTACGGTTTCCTTTTCCTACGCATTACCGTAACAACATTGCAGTACTTGTATTTTTATTCTACAAATTAGACAGCAACGCATGATGATTTACGGAATATTTTTTCTTATTTCAATATAATTTTTTATTTTACTCTCCCCACAGACGCCAAACATTTCCCTTCGAGTACCTTTATTTTAACCATATGCGTACTCATAAATGGGAAAATGTTTCCCGCGAGAAAGGAAAAAAAAGTTTTCTCACATCATCTGTACAAATTTCTTTTTTGTGCATATTTGTTTCTTCTTGTTTACTTAAACGCAAGGTAATGAAAATTAATTTATATCGCGTGTGTATGTTTGATATAGAGAGAGAAGAAGAGACAGAAAATTATAAACCCGAGTGGCATAAATGACATTTTGGTACCAAAAAAATTGATCTGTCGATATCACGGCATTACAACGTCTTAAGGAGACAGTTAGACATTTTTTTCAATATCCTTAATATGAAAATGTCCAAACTACATCCTTAAAAGAAACCATAACAGTGAAGCTATAACAATCAAAGACGTAAACCACTGCAACATCAACAAAATACATTGTGGCACCAAAAAAATCTTCACATGCCGCTCGGGAAACTTTTTATATTTATTATCAATGTTTAAACATTAACTGGCACACGAGCATCGATTGCAAAGCTACTGTCGGTACTTTGCGAAACCACTGAATTCGTTGTTGCATTGATATTTGCTCCTGTCACTGACAAAGAATCATTTATTGCTGCTTCTGTGTTGTTATTCTCTTGTTGCTCATTCACTACTTCTTGTTGCTGCTCACTACTCCGGATTTCAAGTCAGACCTTTTCAATTCCACTGCCGTTTTGATTCGCATGGGCATTATTGTTGCTGCTTGCCATTGTATAATTTATTTTAAGCAGACATAAATAGATTTTTTTTTTTATTTGGAATACAGCACAATGAAAAAGGAGGAGCGCATGTAGATAGAACCGTAATCAAAAAGTCATTCATTATTAATTGCTTACCTGACACCACCCGAAAGGCTATTTGTTCCACTGTGACCATCTTCTATCACGCTATTTTCGTGTTTACTCGTTTCCGCTGAACTTGTATGATGATGCTTTCGACTTGCTGTCAAACTCTTTCCAATTGGACTTGTCATTGAGAAATATCCACCAGGTTTTGGCTTTAAATGACGATTATTTACTTCCATTTGTACAATACGCATAAACTCAATTTGCCCAGCTAACTTTTGGATTTGTTCCTTTTTTTGTGTCATTGTCGTGTATTGTTCGAAAAGAATGGAAATTTAATGGATAAAAAAAGGCACACTTTGTGTAATCAAGTTTATGTTGGAGAAAGATAAACATAATTCACAAGTCCGTGTTAAATGCAACAGGGACTATAATGGAAAATGTAAATAGACTCTAATTACCTTCAGTTCTTCATTCTCTTGATATAAATCAATGCCTTCCTCTGGCATAAGACCACCACCATTAATGCAAAACGAGGCTGTTATGCCACGCGCTCTCGATCGATGATCCCATTTATCTCCTTGACCTCGCAGCACCCGTAAGATTTTTGGACCAAAAACTAATATGATTGTTGTCGTCGTCGACAATTGTGTGCGCACAAATCCGAGGAAATACTTTATGTCAGGTCCTGCTTGTGGAAAGAGGAACAAACTAAAAATAGAAAAAAAATGTGGTTAAGGAATCGTACGTGAGCATAAACGGCAGGCATGAAAAAGCAATAAAATGTCACTTTAAGAGAACGAAGGATAAAAAGTTTATTTTATTCATTTTCATGTACAACTAAGCTCGATCATTTGACGCTATGTGATGAGAAAGAGGAAAGAAGAATTATGAACAACATGAGTCAGTGACATGAAAAATGAAGTAACATGTGGTATATCAATGAAATTTATTTCTGTCTATCGGTTTTAAACTTTTCTTGTCTCTTTACATCATCAAATTATTTAATGTTCAAGCTTTAATTTAGGATATGTAGTGAGGAAGTCAAAACAGAATGTCTAAACTGAAGCGACGACTTGTTCAGGAGTCAAACTTTAAAGGGAAGACTTAATGGCGAATAAAGGCTTAAAGCAACGACTTATTGTGAAGCCAATAATTGAAGCAACGACTTAATGAAAGTAAAACGGTAAATCGACGACTTTAAGTAAAGTCAAGCTTTGAAACAAAGATTTTTTGAGATTCAAGTTTCAAATCGACGACTTTTGAAGAATCATCGATTTACATAAACTTAAATGTGTTGAAAATACGCTAAAGACAGCAGCATTCCATGTATTTGTACTCATTCTACTTGTTCGCTTATTCATCGATCCAATTCTATAGCAAACCACAGGCATAAGTTAACAAGCAGGTCAAAAAACATCCCTAACATTTCTCTTTTCTTTTTTTTATTTAGAAATGAATTGACTATTTTTATGAACATCACTGAATTCATCATTGCCCTCATTCCTACATTTATTCGTCCCATGAGACATTGATACTTACTGTATTGCTACCATAAGTGTATTAACGAAAGCAATGTTATATATTGCATAGGAGATCAATTTTGCTTCGTTGTATAATGATTCGGCATTTCTAACATTGTAGCAGACACGTATGCCCCACAAGAGGAAGAGAACCTCTCCGATAGCTAATGCATGGTCCCACCAGTTAAATACACATTGTTTGAATATCAATCCTTCAACATCCGTAATCTAATTGATCGTAAAATTAAATTAAATAATATAGTAAAGAAATTAATGGATGATGGCATTCAATCATTGAGGAAAACATGATGGGAGATGAAGAGGAATTATGAGATATTAGATGATAAATTGATGGAAAAAGAAAAATAAGTTTACCTCTGTTGCTGTTGGCGTATCAGCAGCAGTCCACGTTCCGAGATAAATTCCCATAACTAATAATATAGGAACCATCCATTGTAGCAATTGCTTATCAGTAAGTTTAACTTTGTGTGCAGATTTGACACGATATGTCAACGAAACGCGCCACGTTTTCATAAACAAGGCAGTATATGTGATGCAAAATCCTGTGGAATTAAACAGGGAATAGTGAGCTTATGTGTGAAAAATTATTAAAAAAACATGGAACAAATGGAACTTTGTTGTGCTTTTTCTCATCGGTTTTCTCTTGTTGTTGGGGTATATTTATAAATTACGTCAATTATTTGGATCTGGTTCTCTATATTTATATCACAAACTGTATAAAATGTCACAAAGCTGTAAATAGAAACACTTAGCTACAGAACCTTTATATGTTAGATGTAATTTATGAATGACCCATTGTTCTATGGTTATAAAAACTTCGATGCATGAAAAAAAAATTCTTCAAGGTTTTTAACATCAAGCACTAAAAATCAATCACTCGATTCCCATCCTAACCATACACACATGTAGAGAAACTTTTAATTGCTCCACATTTACTTTAAACATTTTAATTAGTTTTCTGGACATAATCGATTATTTAATTAAACTTTATCCATATCTATGCTTCCATCGTCAACCATAATCAATTCATTATTGTTTTGGTGAACTTTTATAATTATTTTTGATTGTTGGTCTCCATATACACAAACAATTCCGTTGGATATTATGTCTCATGTAGCGATTTAATTTATAAAACGGCATAATGAAGCAAAAATCTCTCTTTCTCGGTCTCTATATAGAACCGCATTAATTTATGTTGAATGAAAAAGTTTTAATCACAGGAGAGTGGGCAGAATAACCTCAAACAGTAACAACAAAAAATTATAGTCCAACAAAAGAGGATAATGATTTGAGTAAATGAATGAAACTTTTATAATGTCTTTCATTTGTCATTCAATTTATCTCAATTTTCTGTGGATTATCATTGCGTGCAAATAGTTTAAAAAGCTTATTGAAGCTTAGTAGTTTTGTAGAATTCATTAGATAATGGGGAGATAATTGAAGAGTTTTAAACTTGTCATAGAATATTAATCATTGTTGAAATTCATTGAACTATGGAATTTAATTGTCTGAATTCAGCTAAATTAGCTGAATAAGCTAAATTCAGCAGAATAAAATGATATCAGCTGAATAAGCTGAAATCAGTTGAATAAGCTAAAATCATCTTAATAAGCTGAATTACCTGAACAAAACTGAATATTCTGAATTCAGCTGAATAAACTGATCTCATCTTAATAAGTTGAATTCACCTGAATATGTTAAACTCAGATGAAAAAACTGAACGTAGTTGAATAAGCTTAACACAGCTGAATAAGATTAAAAAGCTGAACTTAACTGAATAAGATTAACTTAGCTGAATAAGCTGAACCTTGCTAAATAATGATTGAGTCGATTTAAATTTTCTTTATCAACATACAGCTCAACTATAAACGAATCTTCTTAAAACAAGAAATCACAGAGACTAGAATAAATCCTCCGTAACTTTTTAATCCCTTAACATATCACACATCACATTCACTCAATGATAATAAAGAACAATATAAAATGAGAAGCGCACAGAGTTCTCAATGTCCATATCTCTCAACTAGTATGACATGATGATTCAAACTCATATTATATAACAGATAAATAAAGAGATAGTGAATGTAATACAATACCCATATGACGTGTCCATTTTGTAGCAATGCACGAGTATAAATCTAGAGTGGGAAAGATTGCAGCCATCTCCAGATACATGATGCCACATCCAACCAAACATATCATGAGGAAAACAGGACTTGCAACTTTAAATACTTTAATTTTTCGATTATGAAATAGATACAATGCGAGAGAAGTTGTAAAGAAAACACAGAAGATTGAAATGGTGAGAATGGCAATTCTGTGTTGATTGAATGAAACGAAGCAGAAGGAATAGAAAACAAACATAAATTAGAATAGATATACATACTCTTTCATCAATGATTATATTACCTAAATGGCCAATTGTAAGTGGCTAAGCATGGTTGTGGACCAGTACATGATAAACATCCTTCCATGCACGGCAGACACACAAACGAATCGATATAAAATGTACTGACATTTGTCAAGTACTCTTCATACGATGCTTCCATGATCGTTCCATTGAAACCATATGGATGTCTTATTGAATAAAAGCCTCTTCTACAAAGGCATTGATAACTGCCTCTTGTCCATCCATTAATGGTCGACAGGCGATTGTTGTTGAGATATTGTGGACGAAATTGACACTATAATATTTTGTGGGATGACGAGGCATTAAGGAGATAACATTATTATTATTGTTGATGATGAATGTGTATACGATGAATAACCATGACCATTAAGCCATCAGCAATATTGTTTGTGCAATTCAGATTTAATTGGTGAAATGAAAGGAATATTTCGAAATGAGAATTAAATATTTGTCAGTAAGTTGAGGAGGTTGTTATGGCGCATTTTTGTGTTTGGAAATCTAGAATTAATCCTTTGAATGTTTTCTGCTCAGTTTTCGATTTAACGGTTAATTTAAATTTAAATTTATAATATCCGTTCCACAAAAAAATTTAAATTATTTTTGACAGTTAAAAATCAATAAATACAAAAATTAATGTTAAAATGCACAATCTCGACAAACCAGAAATAATAACTCAATTTCCTCACAAAAATGCACCGAAATACATTTTTCGCCACAATTAAGACAATTAAAATTGCATATATGACAATTCTTACATCCATACTATCACGATGGCACTTGTGCGAATCATGGAATGCATCTATCTCGTTATCCTGATGGAACGGCGACGGTGTTTGTAGGGATACGATTGGATGCGTAAAGAGTTGTGCACTGGATTGATGCTGATTATGATTAAATTTGCTATTATAACGGAAATTTGAATTATGATGGCTGTCGCTATAAAATTGATTACTTATATCACATTGATTAATATACAGTCCTGAAACATCTATATCGATACTCAGAAATCCACGCAAGCTATTATTGATATAAAATAATGATGTCAATTGATTAATGCCGTAATAAATTTTAATATATTAAAATGAACTCACTCTGGATGTTTCACTGAAGCTATTGCAATACTATACGAAATTATCCATTTTCTCTGAATGCATGAATAATAGGGAAATGTGAACCAGCCTTTAAACGATAAACTCGGTGGAGCTGATGCAAATTTCGGTGAACGAAGTGATGGGGTTGACGCAGGATCCTCAAACCTACACACATGAAATATAAAAGGGTTGAAAGAAGAAATTAAAATCATGTATGTTCACGTACCATTGAGTATAAGGTAATTGAGATGTTGATACAACAAAAAAAATTCGTGTAATTAAATTTTAATGAGTTTTTCATCCTTTCATTGAGGCTTTATTGTTCAATCAATTATTCTCTTATTTAATTTGCCGTAAAGGGAAAGAGAAAATTAAGGCAACAATTTTCTTTATTCTTCGATTAATCAACTTTATGTTCATTTAAATGAACAACTATGGGAACATCCATTAATGATGTTCCTTTTTATTGCAATATTATTATAAAGTGAACCCTTAGCTTTGACTGGCTAGTAGGGATATTTACCCGAACGTATCCCAGAATGTAGCACATCAGTTTTCGATTTTAAGGTTAGGGTACCTCAGGTAGCCTAGATGCTGGTCTTAGATTGATGAAACTTAAAAGTGAATGCCACGTCTTTCTTAAAGGACTCATCCCGATACCAACTCTTCACCCCTATCTCTCTTCATTATTTACGAACGACTCGAATGGGAACATTTACAAGCTTTTGAACACATGGTGATTGTGTATGAACAGGAACAGAACAACTTTAAAATATTATCATGACTGAATCTCAGATGTAATATTTTTAACAAATTTTCTTTATTCCATTAAAATAAGTAATTGAGTTAGGAAATTCTACTGATTTGAGTTTTTGTTTTGTTGATATTTTTAACACAAACATTGAGATCTAATTTTAGAAAAGATCTGGTGTCTAATGGTAAGCTATATTTTATAAATAGAAGTAAATTGTGTAACAAAATAGCAATTACTGGATATCCATTAATTACTTTCAAGAATTACATTGTTGTTTAATGAGTAATTGTCATCTGTGTCTTTGCTGTTGTTCAGGATTTTAATCGACAATGATTTTAAATATGACATTTAGGATTTTAGTAAGAATAGATATGAATCAGGTGAGTTTAGAAAAATATAAATTTTTAACATCCAATTTGTCATTTAAAGGTTCCAAAGAATCTGTTTTCTAAAGTAAGTTCAACCTTAACTAATCGCTTCTTCTCAACATCCAATTTGTCATTTAAAGGTTCCAAAGAATCTGTTTTCTAAAGTAAGTTCAACCTTAATTAATCGCTTCTTCTCAAGTAAATGTAAATAACTCAATCAATTTTACCTCAAATGGCTTCTAAATTCAAGTCAGTTTTCCTTAAAGCCATAAAAGCTCAACAACCTCTTCATACAACACCAAATCCAATTTAATTCTCATATACCTACATAAATACAGCACAATTCTCTTACACTACATATTATTCTACAGAAGAGGAAGTAGGAAATGCTTAATGACATGTTGGAGGAATTATATCCTGTGAACACAATACTCATTCATTTTGTTTTACAACATTACTAATTAAGGGAAAAGTTGAGTCTCATGAGAACATTTATAAAGCAATAAACTTAATGTTTGGTTCACAGAAATAAATTAAACGATAAAATAAAGGCAGCAAGAGAGTTTGCAATAGTATATAGTTGCTTGAAATTTGTAGATTTGATTCAAAAATAGTCAAAGGACTGTTTGATAATGCCATGAACTTCCTGAGTTCTTTTAATGCGCTCTAAAACAGGACAGATTTGTTAAAAACCTTGACACACATCAACTCCAGGAACCTATAGATTCAACATTTCAAATTCTTTTAATTCCTTTCAATCAAATCAATCTTTTGCAAGTCAAATTCTATGCTTATCAATTAACATTAGAATTTGACTTTTGACTGAAAATTTCAATCATATTCGTATCTTGCATAGTCAAGATCAAAAAGGAATCCATACAATATGCAGCATCTGTATTGCCATAAAAGCACAAATAAGTTATGTGGTTGTCATGCGAGCTCAAATCTGATTTCCTTTTTGACTTTTGTGATGCTCTCATTGTTATGCAAATTTAGCTTTCTAGTTAAATTCGAAAAACTTGATGAATATTCTCTACATAGCTACAAAAGGCATTTAACAGAGAATTATTAATTTTCTAACATGAGACTTGTCATTATGCACCATAGCTCAAAATATATTCAATTTAAAATTCAACATAATGTTTATGAGAAAAATTGAATTATTTTTTAATATCCGAAATTAATTTTCCACCCACTCAACACATCAATGCTTGATGCTTTATCATTGCCAATACATACAAGTGTTGAGGCATTTGATTGAATTTGCTCTTTTCACTTAGATTTTCTATTATTTATTTGATAGACATTTTGATTCATGATTGATTCTTTTTTTCATATCTTTTACTCAATTTATGGTTCATTTCGTTTGATGCTGTCAAAATGGAAATGATGAAAGGACGTCTATTGATTGATTTTTAAAAAGTATTTAAGGTCAATAATTGCGTTGAGCAAGAAAAGTTTGTTAAGTTTTGAAAAAGGATTTGAAATTTAAGAGGATTGTAAATTTTTTTTGCATCAACTTGTAAGCTGTATTTGAGGTTTGATCAGCTTAAAAGTACTTTTAATTCCTAATTCTTAAAGTTTAAACAAATAAAATTGGTTTTGGATTCAATATTACTGCTGAAATCTTTAACTTCCTTTGAATCAACCTAATCATATCCAAAAGTCAATTTTCAACTCAATTCACACTATTTTTATAACATTTTACAAAGAAAATCAAATTAAGGTAATTTTGAATGATTCAATCAACGAGAATTTCAGTAAATACACATCCTACCAATCTATACGTTGACCTTTCTACTCAATAATCAATACTGCTCATCGAACCATCGAGAAAATATTCTCATAATATTCGAATTACTTTTCTTCTCATCCGAATAAAATTTAATGCAATGAAAAATTGACGAGAAAAAATTAGTAAAGTCCTGTTGCTTCCATTTAGCTCTTAATATTTCGCTTAATTGACAGTTTTAAATTTTGCATGCTATGCAGCAATTTGTAACCAGACTGTACATAAAAGACTCTTCCGTCTTGCTAAATGTGCACTATTATAATTAAATTTATTCACAACTTCAGATCTGAGCTTGTCTTTTCTTGTTATTTAACTTTCTAAGATGACAGTTCATTTTGAACTTTAATCTAGAGAGTAAGTTTAAGTTCCGTAGCCTTTAATTTGAACGATAAGTAATTAATGATGAACATCTGATGAAAATTCAAATTCATCAGAAAGACTTTAACTTAAAAATCTTTTCAACTTTAAAAACCTTAAATCCTACTTTTACCATTTTTGCATTCACCTTCAAAACCCAATTCATGACTTCACATTGAAGAGCCATCGAAGCATTTTAGAAAATTTATGAGGCATTGCAAGACCGCCATCACGTGGAATTGAGCCTCACAGTCATTCAAAATAAATCTTGCGAAATGATTTTTTCCAGTCAATTATTTCCGTCGAAAGCGTGATTGGAACGTAGCTGAGGATGGCTGTTTATACTATTGAGTTATCGGATGCAAAGCGTATTGGATGATTTTGATGAATATTTTTGGTATTGAAAAGTTGGCTTATTGGTGTGATGATGTCCATTGATTTTTTTAAAGAGTGGAAGTCATGATTGTGTGGCATTTACAGGAGCCGAACTGATGAATCAACTTTTGATCAATCATCAGGGGGAGGGGGAGTATTGTTATTTAATTCCTATGGATTCTTTTTGTGACCAAACTCATTAAAACACCAGATAAACTTTAAAAAGTCACCAAATAATCTAGTCTAGATTTGATAGCTAAAATCCTTTTTACATCACTGTGTATCCCTTCCAATATTACATGTACTCTCCTGTAAAACACAAGTCCCGCTTCCATTTATGATTCATATGAATAACATACTTCAATCGACATAAAATTTGATTATTTTCATAAATTATACAGCACACAACTTGAACATATAAAATAATAATTATTATTATTGAAAATATCTATGCATAAAAAATTTCAAAATTAATTCCCGAGCAGAACTACATGACGCAGAGAATTTACTTGTGCTTACTTCATGAATATTTCAATGCCTTTGTATGATTTCCGACATTTAAAATTAAACCAAGCAAATTAAAATTAACTCATTCTAATAAAAAAAATCCACTGACGTAAGCTTTCATTGAAGCTTTATTCGAAACAAAAATATTTTACCCCATTTACACAGCCAGTTTCATTGCCTGTATGCACGAGCATTTAACAAAAGAAAGTCAAAATTCAATTACATGTAAAGCACACATAAGATCCCTGCTGTCGATATTAATTAAATTGTAATTAGAAAACAATTTAATTTTAACTGCGTTGTTCATTTTTATGGTTCCTTTGCTACCTACATACATGATACATATACGTTTAAATAAATGAAGGAATGAATGGCGCCCTTATAAATTTTCCATGATATTTTCACTTTCTCGGAAGCGCAACAAGTTGCTTGCCTCGCAGGTGGCTCAAAAATGAATAAAGCTATACTCATTTCATTGTAACATTACATTTCTGCTATTTCAATTACATTGTTGTGCATGTAACATCATTTTTTTATACAGTGTTCATGCTACATTTTTTATATTAAAATGGTTTTTAAAAGCAATCTATTGAATAGGAAGATGGCTTATGATATTTTCTTTTGTTAAAAATATGTCTGTCCTAGTAATCGACCTGATATTATGAGCATTTGTAAGTAAAACTGATAAATTTTTGAGATAAAGGGGTATGAAACTACACCAAATGGGTTATCTTTTTGAGCATACTTAATACGGTTAATTTCAAATAATTTTTAAAAAAGAAGTGTGCTGCTAATTTGATTGCAATAAAATTTAAGGGGAGTGAAACTAAGTAAAACACTTTGTTGTAGAAGATTTGAGCAAAATTGAGCGAGTTGGTACAGTTCAAATATTATTTGTGATTTATCATCGGCAAATTTTCTATTTCTTCTCCCTTTCAAGGGATTTGCAGCTATGCAAGTGCGCTTTATAATCATATCTATAGTTGACTTTCTAACTTGTTTGAAATTGTCTGTTGGTTCTAATTTTTTTCTGTTCATTTTTTCAGAAATAATCCATTGTGTATTAAATGTTCATGAGCATGTACATGCACACATGATAATGATGATGATAAAAATAGAACTTACCATGGATAATCAGAGAGAGGCTTTCGTCCCACAGCAAGTCCGTCTTCCTCACGCCGCTGTGGCTCACCCAACTCCCGATTTCCAATTTTCGTCCACCATACAGATGTGCTTAAGAATCCTGTTGATAAGTTTGTTGCGAGTATGCGAGCATTTATTACATTTGGATCGGATAGTAGGCCTCTGGCAATCGCATCCAATAAACCTGAAATAAATAATGTTACACGATTGACAATAAATTATGTATATTTTATGTACAGGGGGCAAATAAAAATCTATAACAATGGTAATATTGACATTTTTAGTCTCTGTTCTGGGCTATATTCAATCTGCTTCCATTTATTATTTCCTCTCTTCGTGTGCTTTATTTCTAGTAAGTTTGACATAATGAATTCACCTTGAAATGCCTTTTTCGCTACGTTTGTAATGACAGGATTGGAAAATTATTGTGTTTGACGTCGGAGATACGCCCACAGGAAAACATTAGCGATGATTAAAGCTGTAGTTCAGGAAGATACAAATAAAGATGGAAGATACAGACATAATTAATCTTGGTAATGCAGTGCATCAACGTAAATTGACATTTTATCGGTTGTGAAAGTTATGCTGGCGTGACTTGGCTATCGAATTGGGGATTTTGTGTTGAGTTGCAATTGATTAGACACGATAGAGGTTTGAAAAGTTAAGGAGTATTATTTTTAGGGGGATTTGTTGCTTGTATGGCTTAATTTTCATTAGTTGTTGACGTTTTTAAACACTAGGATTGAAAGAAATATCACGAATTGTGGTTTTTGAGCGATTTTGCAGTTATTTGTTTTTTGACATTTTAATTTATATCAAACTGTTGCGTAGTTTGACCCCTTCGTGGAATTTTGGCGAAAAATAGTCAGTTTTAGCGAAATTTTGTAAAATCTCAAAAAACTTTAATCAAATTCAAATTTGTTGCTGAATTCAATTTACTAGGGTCGCCCCTAGTCCAAAATTGAAAATGTATTTCCTACTTGGTTCTTTGCTCAAAAAAATTCAGGATGTTTTATTTGTTTTTTTTTGAGCACTAGAATATTTATGCAAAGTTTCAATCCATTTGGATAAACCCTCCAAGAAAAAAGTGACAAAATTGATTTTGACTAGGGTCGCCCCTAGTCCAAAATTGAAAATGTATTTCCTACTTGGTTTTTTGCTCAAAAAAAAATTCAGGATGTTTTATTTGTATTTGTTTTAAGCACTAGAATATTTATGCAAAGTTTCAATCCATTTGGATAAATCCTCGAAGAAAAAAGTGACAAAATTGATTTTGACTAGGGTCGCCCCTAGTCCAAAATTGAAAATGTATTTCCTACTTGATTTTTTGCTCAAAAAAATTTTTTTCATCCAAAGTTTAATTTAAAAAAAAATCACAGTGAACTTTTAATTTGAAAAATTCGTAAGAAAGGAAAGTTTTTTGCTTTTTCTGAAGCAACGGCTGTTCCTATCTTGCCCAAAAACAATACAGCTCTTCTATAGAGCAGCACGGATCAAATGTAAAAAACTAGAAGTCTCTACAATGTCTCGTTATTGAGATTTCTTGCTGATTAACTTGCTTGTTTGCTTGCTTACAGAAAGCATATTTTGCGATTTTCTCAGCAATGCCGCAACCAATTTGAAATCTGTTTTTTTGATGACCGTTCAAAACACCTAAAGTTTTTTACCTCTAAACATTTCAAATTTATAAAACCTAAATTTTCTGCATCTAGAGTTTTTAATCTCTATATACATTTGTATATAGGTGTTAAAAACTGCACGTGCAGTTTTTTACTTCTAATGATTTTTCCATTAGAAGTAAAAAACTACACGTGTAGTTTATAACTTCTATATACATTTATATATAGAGATTATAAACTGCATGTGCAGTTTTTAATTCCTAATGAAAAAATCATTAGAAGTAAAAAACTGCACGTGCAGTTTTTAAAACCTATATACTAATGTATATAGAGATTAAAAACTCGAATTGCAGAAAATTAATCCTCGGATTTAACTTTAAGCTTTTTGCTGAATTAACCAATTTTGATCATTTAAACGGTTTTGAGTATGTTATTGACAATACTAATAACACAAATGGACAATTCTATCGATTGACGTTTTCAAAAAATTCGTCAATGAAACATTATTTATCTTTATTAAGCTATCTAGTCGTTCTTAACACCAAATATATTTATGTATGGTGATTAAATTATATCCTTTTGTTGCAGTTGGTTCCTTCTACATGCTTTAAATTACAAAATATTTGACTTTTTGTAAGCGTTGCACTTGTACAGAATGCAAAATTTTGAACTTTTACGAAAGGTTTTCTCAGACTACCGCCATTTCGTTTCGGACTTCTTCGAAATTAATTTCGATTTCTTCGACATTAGAGCCGAAAATTCAAATTTCAAAAAAACAGTTGCATTTTGTAAACAATAAATTATATTAATTAATACCAATTCTGCACAAATCCCAAAGTTCTTCATAAATTATTAATTTTATATTTTTTTTATCCATTCTCAACTTTATTAAGAATAAAATTTGAGCAAAATGAGTAAGTGCATGGTAAAATCTGGTTTAACCGTCAAAAATTTTTGAATATTATAACGGCCATAAAAAATTTGAATTTTTTTGAATATAAATTTAACGGATGTTATATGAAATGACGGTAGTCTGGGTTTTCTCTTTTCTAAAGTCTAGACAACTTCAAACTATTGATTTACATTTCGTTACATATATGTTGTTTTATTATTGTGCATACTTAAATTACCTTATAAAGCACATATTGAGTACAAAAATGAAGAACTTTAATTCAATTTCAAAATTTAAATTCTAAAAAACCGTTAAAATACTAATGCTAAAATAAACTTTGGAAATCTAAAGTAAAATCACGAATTAGACATGTTTTAACAATTTTGCATATTTTTAAAATTTTATTTGATTCATTTTGTTATAACAGAAAATCTAAGAGAATTTTGATGCGAATTTTTGCTTCTTATGGACAAATCTTACTTCGTGTGATAATTTTAATCTTAAAGTTATAAATTTTTGACGAAAATCATCAAATATGTTTTCAAATACTTAAACACTTAAATACTCATTTTTACTATATGTGGAGGTCATATCTTGCGATCGAGTTTTCGACCACTTCTACTTCTCCAATACAATATTAATATAATATATGAAATTGAAGCTCTCAAATATTGCGACATATTTTATGAATGCGCCCATTTTTTGAGATGTAGATTTTTAGCCAAAATCTTTTGAAAAATTCAAATTTTATTTTCCGTTAAAGCATAAAACAAAATTTTGCTTTAATTAAGCTACAGATTATGAAGCTTTTCGATCAGTATCACTAATTATGTGATCAATAAGTTGTTAATCATTGTTTCAAGCAGTTTCAAGTAAGAAAATTCCTAAATTAAGAAAATTCAGTTGAAATTGAAAAATGTCAACAAAAAAATGTTTCTTAATATTCATGATTTTAAAGCTTATCAATGTTCATAAAAAATAACAAGCTTTGATTCTAAGCGAGTTGACAGTAGTTATCATAGCTAAAATGCTCAAAATTCAGCATAGAATTTTTTAAAGTTTTACCGGTTGAATTGAGTTTAAATTTTCGAAATAAATTTCGAATTTTTTGAAGCCAATTTCGAATTTCTTCGAAATGAAATGACGCAAGTCTGGTTCGAAATCTCACCAAAAAACTCGTGAGAAAAATTTTGTATGAAATTTTTGAACACAGAGATTAATGGAAGTTTTTCTGTTATTGACTGTGTTCCTCTTTTTGAATGTATATCAGTCAATGCCTCTGGATGCTTTTTTGATCTCTTTAAGCATTGCTGAATTTGCTTGAATTTTAAAACAAATGCTATGCAATCGTAAAGGATGATTTAAAACAGACTTGCTTAAAAGATTGCTGAAACTTAAAAGATTTGAACTTGAATTTTTTTATTTCGGGCGGGAAATTTTAAATTCAGGAAAAACGTTATTTGTTTTTAAGTCATATTGCTTTTAAATAATGTGATACTTTAATAATTTCACCCTCGTTTTTGGTCAGAAAACATTATGATATTCATAAAAATAGCATTTAGTGTACTTGATTCTGGAATTTCTAAAAACAATTTTTTCCTTCCTCATGTTTGTTTACATTTTGAAGAAAAATATTTGAAAAGCAAAACACGAATTTTTTTTTCAAAATTAGATAAAATGGTGAATCCATAAACAGTTGAAAACAAAGAATGCAGATTTATTTTGTGTTAAATATTGTTTTCTGTAAGAAATCCAAAAGATTTTGGCTAAAAATCTACATCTCAAAAAATGGGCGCATTCATAAAATATGTCGCAATATTTGAGAGCTTCAATTTCATTTATTATATTAATATTGTATTGGAGAAGTAGAAGTGGTCGAAAACTCGATCGCAAGATATGACCTCCACATATAGTAAAAATGAGTATTTAAGTGTTTAAGTATTTGAAAACATATTTGATGATTTTCGTCAAAAATTTATAACTTTAAGATTAAAATTATCACACGAAGTAAGATTTGTCCATAAGAAGCAAAAATTCGCATCAAAATTCTCTTAGATTTTCTGTTATAACAAAATGAATCAAATAAAATTTTAAAAATATGCAAAATTGTTAAAACATGTCTAATTCGTGATTTTACTTTAGATTTCCAAAGTTTATTTTAGCATTAGTATTTTAACGGTTTTTTAGAATTTAAATTTTGAAATTGAATTAAAGTTCTTCATTTTTGTACTCAATATGTGCTTTATAAGGTAATTTAAGTATGCACAATAATAAAACAACATATATGTAACGAAATGTAAATCAATAGTTTGAAGTTGTCTAGACTTTAGAAAAGAGAAAACCCAGACTACCGTCATTTCATATAACATCCGTTAAATTTATATTCAAAAAAATTCAAATTTTTTATGGCCGTTATAATATTCAAAAATTTTTGACGGTTAAACCAGATTTTACCATGCACTTACTCATTTTGCTCAAATTTTATTCTTAATAAAGTTGAGAATGGATAAAAAAAATATAAAATTAATAATTTATGAAGAACTTTGGGGTTTGTGCAGAATTGGTATTAATTAAAATAATTTATTGTTTACAAAATGCAACTGTTTTTTGAAATTTGAATTTTCGGCTCTAATGTCGAAGAAATCGAAATTAATTTCGAAGAAGTCCGAAACG